CCAAGGGAATGGGCTAGGAAGTTCATATGTAATGCTGTGTTGTAGCCTACAGAGTGCATAATTCTTCTCGTGATTCATGGCATGCGCACGTTTTACTGACGTCACGACAGTATAAATTGCAACGTTAAGCGTTCCGTATGTGACGTCATTTTAGTGTCTACTGACTGACTGACAACATAATACTGCATAGTGGTGCGAGTGGTTAAAACTGGTGGCCCCTCCAGACGGACTCCGGTCCCCTTTACTGGAAAATAACATTTCTAGTTTGAAAAAGGCTGCATTTAATTGACATATAACTGATAAACTATTATACGTATAAGGAGGAGCACAAAGTCAATCTATAACTAATCAGCACACCATACAGAGGCCCGACATGGCCAGATGGTTAGGGCGCTCGACTCGCAATCTGAGAGTCGCGGGTTTGAATCCCCGTCCCACCAAACATGCTCGCCCTTTCAGCCGTGTGGGCGTTATAATATGACGGTCAATCACACTATTCGTTGGTAAAAGAGTAGCCAAACACAATACAGCATACAATTTGTACACATTTCTCGTGAACAACTTCAATGTTTTTGTTTTTTTTTACAATGAGTCCTTAATTCAATGTCAAGTTTATTTTGCGAAAGTTCCCCAGTCCACATATTTATTCGATACAATTAATTTCGAAAAGTACATACATTCACCAACGCCTAGAAAATAACATTTGTACAGGAGTTCCACTTCCTTTCATTTTGCAAAGTTACTGCATATATTCGAATATAAAAAATATTGTGAGTTACAAAATAATGGATAGAAACGAACGGCTGTTTACGTGGTTATGAAAACGCCTACACAAATTACACCGCTTACTAACAGATAGCAGTAGAACATTAGGCCGATTTTATGAAATCTTAATTTAATGAGTCAAAATAAATAAAGCAGAAACTATTTTTATGTATTCCGTTTTCATAATTGCTTCATTTTGTGAATCATATAAAGCGTGCACTCAGATATTTTTTTTTGAACTTGAGATAGCAGTTCAGAATCTCTTTAACACAAAAATCATACTTCCTTAGTTTTACTGTATGTGTTAGAAATGACATTACTGCCTGTACGTTCTCACGCACGCAATGGTTAGTTTAAAATTGTTTATTCGTAAAATGTAAACTACATTTCTGTCTGATATTATCTGTGTTTACCAAAGTACGCGAGTTTCGTAAAATAAAACCACCTCTAAACCATACCAAATTCAACCGGAAATCGCCAAAAAAAAAAAAAAAACACCTACAAAACTCAAATAAAGAAGGTTAAATGGCCGGCTCTAGTGAAGATGTTGCGTATAGTTGTGGTAGACTTACTGCTTAGGCTAATACAAAACTCAAATCAATTTGTATTTTTCTTTAAATAATTTTATATTCTAAACCGAAAATAAAAATATATTAAAATATTAAAGCGATTTAATGCAATTATAAGTATGTATGTTGGAAAAATATTGAAGATATTTCAAATTTAAACGAAGAAAGTTTTTAGATAATCAAGACGTTCACTAGAGGCGAATAGCATATTTATCACGTCTTCATATGTGCATTAGCTTCTTCAAATAAACACACGATTAGATTAGTTTCGTGATTGCAGAAATTTATAATGAACGATGAGAATCTCATAAAGCTTAAGATTAAAGTTATATATGCTCTTCAAAATAAGACAAAAACCAAAAATGTAAAAAAATTATTCAGTGAGTATATTCATAGAGCAACAATTTGTTTACTAGCTTTCCACAGTAAATATTGTTTTACTTCGAAAAGCTACCTGACAACTACCTAAAATCAAGTAGCACTAAAGTAAATTCATATTCTATTTGGAAGATTTATTAGTTACTTCCTACAAACACGAAGTCTGATTCAAATGTTACACCATATACTGTTTGTTTCTTAAAGTGAAGAACTTTTCATCACAATTAAATTAAAAATTACAGATTGTTTTATATCATGGAGATTTGTGTGGACGATTGCTGGAATTACTGATGAAAAATCGAACTCTTATTCAGTGGCAGAATCTCAAATTAGTGTAAAACACTCTGACCAACAAACGGTTCATTTAGTTTCCCAAGTACATTAGTGGGGTATTTTAACAAATTGTATTACAATATATTAGGGTTTAGGGTTAAATAACACTAAATATTTTACTGTATCTGGCTCTGAAGTATCCAGCATACTACAAATAGAAAATATATCAATATTCTAAGATCTTCACAATAATATATATATTTCTTCTTGTCTCATCGGAACCAAGTGGCAGGAATGTAACATGAAAAACACATTGAATCTAATGTTTCGCATGATCAACAATCTTTTTGGTAAAGTACTGAATGGCTACGACTCGGATTGTTCGGTGTTTATCAAGAAAGCTTCTGAAAAATATAATTTTTTTTAAACGCAAGTGCATGTATTTGTATTCCTCAATTGGTAATAAATTTCTTAATCCTACTAACTTTCAATTATTCATGTAAGCTCAGAATTTTTCGTCCACTATACAGTTATTACTCAAATATTATGAGTATTTCTATTTTGAAGCAAGAATCCTTCTAATTTCTCCTCATTGCCACAATACGTTCAGAAATTAATTTAGTAAATAACCTCTAGTGAATAATTTAAATTTGTTTATAATGTCACAAATACATGTATAAGTTGATAAAATGATAACGTATGTTGTTGATATTACAAGTTAATAAGCTTTTATTTGTATCATACTGCACTCTAAGTAGACAAATGTTTTCATACTATAGCAATCAAAGGGTTCGAAGGAAACCGAAGTTTAATGTTGTTCATCGTTAGTGCCGTTATCCTTTTTATTGTTTTTTATATTGTATTTTGACCTATAGTTTCATTTCTGAAGAAGATTTTACGTACTTTTTATATTACTGTATGGTGTTCAGACTTACATGACACAAAAAGTTTCATTATCTTCAAATACATCACACAAACAAAGGTCGTTAGAGCTGTGTTAGAAAGAAGTCTTCGCCGATCAAACATATGAAAATAATAGAACAATACATTGTTTTTACCTACACAATCTGGTTAAATCAGTGTATGCATTTATTATTAAAATGTATGTGATTATACTAACAAAAACTATACAAGATTGTATACATAATGAAACACATGGTGAGAAGTGAAAAAAACAATCTGAACGAAACAAACTAATACATAATGAAATATAAACATAATTATCAAATCCCTTTGTAAAAGATGCCATGGTAAAAATAACGAAAGTAAAAAACAATGTGCGGTATTATTTGCAGATTCCTGCATTGAATTTTGTGTTTTATCTTTTCTCATCAGTAACCTTTACTTATCAAAAGCTTTCTCTAAACAGTTTGTTGATACCTGTGTGTACTGTCTTGGGTCAGATAAAACTAGGGTTTCGATTAATAAATACCTTCTAACTGTACAACTGTTTTGTTCTTATTCAGATCTAAGTTCAGTAATTTAATTTTTTTTGCTTTGTTTTGTACATTTTTTCACAAGAGACGTCATATTCATTAATTAACAAGTTTATGACAATTTTTCAGCATCTTTAATTCGCATTCCAACACACACATGATACATGTTTATCACAAAAGTATCATGTTACATATTATTTATCAGGCTAAAGTAATTTCAACCAAAAGTTTCCATGCACACAATAAAACTGGTTTTACAAGTGTGCTTACAACATATCTTTTCACCAAGTAGCTTACAGCCAGTTTGTCTCCTTTAATAACAAAATTTTGGAAATATTTTACAATGTACCATACTCACTCACATATACACGTACTCGAAAATATTGGAAACTAATATAATTATGGAACTTTTGTTATATGACAGTTCTAACTATCAAAATTTTAAAACATAAATATAAAGACACTGTTTAAAAATTATTAACATTAAAAATCTGCTGGCGATTGCTAGTACAATATATTTTCACACACTTGTCACTTAATAACTTGGAGCAATGTTGAAAGCTCAATAATGTTAAATAAAAGTAAAATGAGTAATTAATATTAACTCCCTATCAGAGCAAGCTACCTACTTGATGAAAACTAAACATCAACTCGCTATGGAGATATATTTAGCATTATCATAAGTTGTTTTTCCAGAGCAAGTTGTTACATTATTTTAAAATATCTCAAACATGCCAGGGGTTATGCCCATCATACATACTAAAAAGATGTTTACAATTATGAAAAATTCATTTGCTAACTGGCTACTTTATCTAATGTTTAACTTAATATCAATCCCCGTCGCACCAAACATGCTCGTCCTTTCAGCCGTGGAGACGTTATAATGTGACGGTCAATCCCACTATTTGTTGGTAAGAGAGTAGCCCAAGAGTTGGCGGTGGGTGGTGATGACTAGCTACCTTCCCTCTTGTCTTTTACTGCTAAATTAGGGACGGTTAGCGCAGATAGCCCTCGTGTAGCTTTGCGCGAAATTCATAACAATCAAACAAATTTACGATTAAATGTTTTTCTAATACTTAATTACATGTAGGTGAAAACATATTATATGTCCCTGAACACCAAAACATTTTCGCATAAACACAATTACACTTAAATAGGATATTATTATGAAGTTCATAATTTAAGGGTTTCACATAATTTAGATATTATAAAATATCTAACAAATGTATATGAATTTAGGTGGACTTTGCACGAAGGTTTTTGTGACAGGGTTTTGTTAATATAATTAGTACTAGTAGTACAAGTGGTAATGATTCTGAACAATAAACTTGGCTGTAACGTTTTAAGTTAAAATTCAATATTGTAACACTCCAAAATGCTATTGCTACTTTTATTTTGTAGTATTTCTGTATAATTTTGAAACATATATGTATATATATATATAATAACGATTATAATGTTTTCTATCAAATAATATATATTCTGCGACATTTACCAGTGACCACTTAGCAGCAGCACGAGCACGCGACAAGAAACGAAAAATGAAAATCATAAACACAACTTTGTGTGTTTTACTCACTCTCCTTTACTTGGACCCGGATACTCCCCTTCTAAATACAGCTCAGTGGAACATTCCTCTGATATCGTAGAGTGTCTGTCAGCTTCCGTCTTTTTCTGCCCTGGCTCGGCCTTTGTGAATAAGACTTTAGTGTCTTGACCTGAGTTTGCGGGCACATGAGAAGGACTACAGGTCCCTGACCCGATTTCTTCGATGTCAGAGTCGATACCGCGGTCGAAGTCCATATAAAAAGATTCCCTAGAGTCACTGGATCCTCGACAAAGGCGAAGACTAAGATTAATACTGCTCTGATCACCATCAGAACCTGCCATAATTCAGAAAACTGAACCATCTGAACTTCCCACTCTCTATGTTACTTTATGTTTAAACCTCTGAGTACGTAATCGCTTCGCCATTCTTACTCCCGCGTGCTATTCCAGAGATGACCAATGTGCGAAGTTTGAGTCAAATGTTTAAGTCACGTGATTTAAAGCGCCATCTGATGCTCATTGCGATAACAAATAACGAAGCACTGAAATATGAATGAAAGAGAAAGAAAGGTGGTGTGATGTTTTTATACACAACTCTGTACGAAAGTCAGTGACTAACTAAATTATGGCTTTTAAGGTACTCAGTTAGTTGAAAGTATTTCATTTTAGTTGAGCCTCTGTAAAAATCAAACACATTATTTATATTAATATGATACAAAAAGTACTAAAATTAAAATAACTAAAGTCTCGTATAATGAGCATACATGAAATATAATCTCTAGAAATGCATATATATATACATATCGAACAGTGTGCGTTTATTTATAAACTGAATCAAATTCTCAATATGCCTGGCCCAGCATGGCCTGGTGGTTAGGGCGCTCGACTCGCAATTTGCGGGTTAGAATCCCCGTCTCACCAAGCATGCTCGCCCTTTCAGCAGTGGGGGCGTTATAATGTGACGTTCAATCTCACTGTTCGTTTTAAAAGAGTAGCCAAAAACTTAGCGGTGGTGGTGATGATTAGCTGCCTTTTCTCTAGTCTTACACTGCTAAATTAGCGACGGCTAGCGCAGATAGCCCTCGTGTAGCTTTGTGCGAAATTCAAAACAAACTAAACGAAATCAAAACTCAATGTGCCTTTAATGAAAGCTAGTTCTTCTCCTAAGATAAGTAAGGTTTCTTTAGCTATATTAATGAAGAAATGTTGAGACTTATTTACTAACATGAACCATCATGCCATATCATATGATCTACAAATACAAATAATTCATTTCAAAAGAAACAAAACTTTGTAATATTGGAAATAATAAGTTTATGAAATTCACAACTAATATGCCACAAAATTTACCATGTTAATGTTTTTCTAAATGGTTGCTTGTAACCTATATATTGATAATACACACATACATATATATGTATGAATGTGTTTGCGTGGGAGAAAGGGAAGTCATGTTTTACAGTTTATGATATTATTACAAAGAATGTAAAATATAAAGGGATTATTATTAAAAACAATTCAAGCCCACCTCCTCTTTAAATGAAATTATGCTTAAAACTCATTTTACTAATATTTAAAAGCGCAGCAGGCTAGCAGCAATAATATCTAAACAAAGTTTGGTTTCATTAACAAAACGGTCATAACGTAATTATCTCGTTTATCGACGTGTACAACTTTAATCCTAAAACAAATAACAGTGAAAGTTTTATTGTATTATTTATAACATGATGAAAATGCCTTAAAATACCGTCTAACTTCTGCCGACGTATGAAATAACGCCTTAGTTTCAGTGATATAAAAACCATTTCCTTTGCTTTTAGTAACTACAATTTCAATTAATGAAATCTAGTATTTTAAGTAATTTCCAACAGATAATATGGTTATCTTTTTTTTGGTTATCTGATTTTCTTATTAGAATTATATATATATAAATCAAAGTCAAAACTGTTTAAGAAGTTTCTAAGAGATGAGTTTTTCAAACTTCCTCTTTTGTAACTTGAGTAATCCACATAACAGGTCATATTTTATTTTGTACCTAACACAATGTGTAAGTATTTATAAGTGTCATACTTGCAGGAATTAAATTGATATGAGTGTATTATCATTACAGAAAATTAAGTTCATACATTTTCAGACGGAATTTATGTTTTGCAGCATCACAATGAAGTTATTTAAACAAATTCGGCCCAATATGTAATTACGGTTTCGTTAAATGCTACGAAATGAAGTTCACTTCTATGGTGAAACCATGCGTTTTATGTCTTTTTGAAACTGTTGTAGTTCAAACATAGAGCAGACAGTACACACGTGCATTAAGTGTAGCTATAGAATCATAGCACGTGTCATATTTTTGCGAAAAACAACATATCTTTTTAATTTTACAAACTGCTAAAACATCATAACGGTGATATGTGAAGCAATGACCTAGACATAAATAATCTGGGCAGAAAGGGTTATATGCTCAAACAACCCACATTTATACCACTGGTCGCCAGCTGAAAGAGAAACTCGCATATTTTCTTCTCCCGATCATATTTCAATGGTATATGTGTCTGTAATGCGCAAAAACGAGTATTATACATAGTAAAGAACAACCATGTTACACTTTATAATATTTTCTACTGTGTATGTTCTTTATACAGTTTAATATTTGAGGACAATGACGGTTTGTACCAATTCCAATATTTTAAAGAAGAAAAAAAAACATATTCACGATTTAAATTCAAACAATCTTATTCCCTTGTTTGAATATCTGCAAATTCCAAAACGCCTAGTGTTGTTGAAAATATGTATTACATGCATTGGGTTAATATAGAAACGCAAAAGTTATTATGAAATGAAGTTTTTGCTTGGAGATGTTCTATGACACCTTCATTCACTGTAATATTGTTTGTTTAATTTCGCGAAAAGCTACTTGAGAGCTGTCTGTGTTAACCGCCTCTAATTTAGAAGGGATAGACCAGAGGAAGGCATTACTAACGCTTAGGCTACTCTTTATAAACGAAAAATGGGATAGATCATCACTTTATAACGCCCTCACGGCTTAAAGGGCAAGCATATTCGGTGACGGGATTCGAACCCGCATCACGTAGATTGCGATTTGAGCGCTCTGACCATCAGATCATCATTGTAGCATAAAGATATTCAAGTGTTAAATGGATAAAGTAATATTAACACTACTTTTATGCTGTAGAAAACGAGTGGGCTTCTAAATTAAACGCTGAATGTAAATGCTAACACTTTCATTTTCTTCAGCTAGATTCATTACATCAGAATTAATTGCGTAAAATTGAGTTTACTTGAAAGGCGTTGTTAATAGATTGCACCTGTCTAGGAAGTTTTGGACAACGTTAGAGATGCTAGCATATATATCTTCATTAGGACCATCAGATTTTCATCTCTGTTAGCAGCAAGACATATCGTCCGAAACGTTTTTGACAGACGAAGTTTATTAACGCTTTTCAGTTTACTTCAAATCTATTCTCAAACACGTTGTGGTATTCTTTTCGGGTCGCCATCAACGGGTTGCAACAAACAAAACTCAAGGTCTTAATGAGTTTCTTAAGACTGAAACTTTAAAACAACATATACAACTTAGACAAGTGCACTGTTTCATAAATAACAAATAAGTCTGTATTCACAAATCAATATAAAATCTTAAAATACAATTTAATAAGAAACATCAAAGAGGTCTGACCATATGGAATCTTAAAAAAAAGATGTGATTCTTATTTTCGTTAAATTAGGAAATCTAGTGTAGATGTATATTTTTTGCTTACTGAAGTGCCCCCTAGTGGCTCAGCGGTAAGTCTGAAGGCTTATGTCGCTAAAAACCGGGTTTCGATAGCCGTAGTGAACACAACACAGATAGCCCATTATGTAGCTTTTCGCTTAACAAAAAACAAACAAAGCTTACTGAATTATTAAAAGTAGTTTAATGTTTGGATTTAGTTTGCAATTATTTGTTAAAAGTTTTTTAATTCTCACACTTTCATAATTTATCTTGAAAAAAGTATGAACTGAGTTCAAAATAACATTGGTTAAGTCTGATATTTGCTACTTCAACAATGGAAACTAAGTACTATTGTAGTTAGTAACATTAAAGACTTACGTAAATACTCCATCCAGGAGGATGACGGCCACTGTTGATTCTCCTCATTGACGAAGCGCTCCATATGAGCAAGGTTCATTTGTAATCACTTCCCTTTCATTGAACCTAGTGTAGGTCTCGTTACAAAGCAAATGTGTGGAACTCAAAGATTTGACAAACATTTATCAACAGTCATACAAAGGGAACGGCATCAAGCCCACCAAAAACTGATAAAATAACAGACAAATAAAACACTGAATTAAACCAATAAATCTTCTATACATACATTTAAACAGCAATTAAAAACTACGTAACTGTGAATTATATATATAAAAAAGCAATACACAATCTTGCATTTTGATGGCTGATATTGTTAATTCTACTATTTCGAGTATGTTATTTGGTATGTTCAAACTGAATAACACTTTATGTGACACGTGGAATAAACGGCCAGGTCAAAGACACCCAGGTAGAGGTATAACCTCCCTAATTTGGAGCTGCTGATGAGAGGGAGGGAAGTCAGTCAGCAGCCACCAATGCATATATAGCTACTCTTAACTGAATTGCGGGATTGACTGCCACAGTTATATGAAAATGGCCTCTTGTTGTCTTTTACGCTTCATTTCAGTCATTTTGATGCTTGAAAGGTCATTAAACCTAAATACCTGTTACGATTGGATTGGATCGGAATGTGGAGTGTACTTAGTGGCATATTGAAGTCTTTCGACCCACACCCAGGAACGACAACCACTCAACCATGCCCGATCCTTTACTGTTTCATTAAAGCTAAGGTAAGTGATTAGTAAAAATGTCTATGGAGGCTACAGTGTTAAATGACGAAAGGTGGTGAAAGAATGAAACCAATAAGACCTATGTTCCTAAGAAAAATTATACAATATTTGAAATATATTTTTCAGTCTGCCACACAATCTAGCCAAAGAAGTCTTTTGGTCAATACCAGAACTCAGCTAGGCTGGACACAATGGCAGAAAAATAAAGTTTATACTAAATGTTATTTTACACACTGTTGTAGGCTATGATTTAAGTTTTTGTTGTTTTGGCTAGACAGTGTTTTTAACATCGCGTGTGGCAAATAATGATCAGAACTTTTTGAAAGTTTAGGATACGATGTAAACTATATAAAAACACGAGTTAGATTAGTTTTTGTTATCTTATTATTCAGCCAGACAGTTAGTTTACCATTGTAAGTCTCGAGTCTGTGTTTTCAACGAAGTAATAAATATACAAGCAGTACTGTTCTTGCGAAAAGCCCCCCAGTGGCAGAGCGGTATGTCTGTGGACTTACAACGCTATAAACCGGGTTTCGATACCCGTGGTGGACAGAGCACAGATAGCCCAT